AGCAACTACTTGATTAAATGGACGTTCTGGTTATTCGTTTTGTACGTCCCGTCGAAACCAATAACGTTACTAAAGTAATCAGCCCAATTCAATTGCTCAGCAGTCATTATAAATTGGCAAATTGCTTACCTGGAAGGTTCGCGTGTGAGAACAGTTTATACCGCATATTACAGACATCTTGATCAGTCAGACGTTTCCCATAAGATTGGTAAGCAAAATTCTTTATGTGGAATGCTGCGGTACGAGATGTCAGCAACGGTCTCACAGTTTCAAGCTCACCATCCGTTAACCTACACACCCATGAATTACCTTGGTACCTCAGGGAACTGCACTCGTGATTGTGATGCACATTCCCACGTACGACAGTCCAGTAGCCGTCTACAATCTTACAAAACATGAAGGTCGGACATTGGGTGTTCATGGAAGCCCTTCGTGAAACAAATTATAATAACATTAACCAAATTACCTCCTCCGTCTAATACGCTGTGACGAACCGCTAGACCTTATACGCCCATTTCTCCAACACACAAGTTTAATATACGAATCTCTCACTACATAATGACTGTAAGTCGAGCTTTCAAAATTTGTGATAGTGGTCTTTAACGCTTCAACCGATGGGAACGCAACCAGAAAAAAGGTTGTCAAAAATACTTCCTCCATTTCCGTGACGTGAGAAACACCAGCACTTGTACATAGCACGTTACTGTCCTCCGTAATGACGATTGAAATGTACTTGGTCTACAAGTACTGATTATTTATAACAAATTTCAACACATAACTAACCAATTAAATCGAATTTGTAAAACTAACCATTTCATACACTTGATATTGTTTTACTTGAATCTTCCCATTGATGTTTAGGACTGCAATTGATCAGTCACTCATGTTGGCACTGCTAGCCACTATCCATCTTTGCTTATAGTGCTTGTAAATTAAGGCAATACGCACATTTTGCACATATGCCAAATGAGAGGCTGAACAATTGCAGTCCCTAACATCAATGGGAAGATTCAAGTAAAACAATATCAAATGAATTAAACTTCACCCCATTGCACAAACGAGTGGCTATCATGACTCAGTAGCTAAGTGGATAATGCAATGTCATTTGAAGCGGACGGTACTGAGTTTGAGTCCCACAGTGAACATCAACTCTGATATGCAGGTGACGAGTCCTAAATTGGTTCCACTGCTAGCCATTATCCATGTTTTCTTATAGTCATTTCATTGGATGAAACACGGGATGAAAAATATTGTAATATGGGGGTGGAAAAAATTGTTTAATGGGGTGGGGGGATGTTAAAAAATATATAAATCGCCGGTCGGGTAATATTATTCTCTTTCTTCAATAATGACCTTTGCTGCGCAATACGTTTTATTGATGACTGATTTAAGGCTGTTTCAATAACAGACTATTTGAATCACCTCTGAATGGTAAGGTGATGTAGACAGGCTTTTCTTCTACCGAGGATACAATAGGTCTCACTGTACCATGACCTTTCAATCTATTTATGAAATTAAGAGGATAGCCATTTTCTATTAATGTTCTATTTAGCAACTGCAGTGGCCAATAACTATAATAACTAAGGTATTGACCTGTCCACGTTGGTTTACTAAAAATGGATCGCTTGACTGAGCCATCTTCTCGTCTACTTAGCTGTTTATATCTAGGAAGGGGAGCTGATTGTTCTTCTCCTCTTCACATGAGAGACTGATATGGTTTCGGAGAGTGTTTAATTTATTTAATAAACAATATATATCCTCTTTTCTTTCACAAACAACTAGGATATCGTCCACATATCTCTTATAAAGTGACATGTTTTCAATTAAGTCATCAGCCTGATTCTCAACATGTGCCATGAACACATCTGCTAATAATAATGGTCCTAGCGGATTGATGGGGTTGCTATGGGTAGTCCACTAAATAAAGCATTAATAGAAAATGGCTATCCTCATAAATTCATAAATAGATTGAAAGGTCATGGTACAGTGAGACCTACTGTACCGTCAGCAGAAAAAAAGCCTGTCTACATCACCTTACCATTCAGAGGTGATTCAAATAGTCTGTTATTGAAACAGCCTTAAATCAGTCATCAATAAAACGTATTGCGCAGCAAAGGTCATTATCAAAGAAAGAACAAGGTGCATGCTCCATTCAAAACCTAAAAGACATGAAAACGATTGTGTCACATCCCACTGTGTTTACCAATTTAAATGTGTATGTGTGTGGTCACATATACATAGGGAGGAGCAATCGTGATCTCAACATTAGGGTGAGTGAATATGTATCCAAATGGTTGCAGAAACAAATACAATCAAGTGACCCAATAAGAGCAGAGGATAAACATCTATCATCCTCTATTGCTAAACATATAATTGAAACAGGCCATAAGATTGATCTAAACTCAACTTTTGTGGTATTGTATAAAAGTGTAAAACGGTGTATACTAAGGTTTATTGAAGCCTTAGCCATACGAAAATTCAAACCCCCTTTGTGTATTCGAAAACAGTTTGTTTTCACTTTAAACACCTACCCTGGTATTATTGACTTATTATCCAGAGTGATTAGGTTTTGAATTGTGTTCACATTATTATTATTACTCATTGTTATTATTATCATCTTTATCTCCTCTTACCCTATTTCCAGGCTAGTTGACCTTTTATTTGTATTTATTTATCACAACCTCTACCACTACGGGATTTGAATCGATAACTGAATCTCTGTGCTAATGTGGTATGGCAACTCGAACTGATGTACGTACGTACGAAGTTCCACGTTGTTACTGACTGACTGATATATAAATGCTCTTAACAAGTATATGTGTGATCAGATTGTTCGTAATGTATTGCGCTGATGTAAATCATCATATAGTTCTGATAATCTCCGTCTTCTTATTAAATGATCGTAATTTATCAAAGGGAGTAATTGCTTTAAAACAAATTAATATGGACAGGAGATAGATAATTCACAGCCGTCAGTGGAATCCATAATGCGGGTTTTGTCAGCTCTATGCACTTTAATCTCTGTGTTGATGTTCATATTGATGCAATTAAAAAAAGACTGAATGAAATAATTTCGAAATGTTTCTAACTAATTCTGCAAATAAACATGTTTTACTGAAACGGCACATTCGGTAGAGACCACCATAATAATAATATGATCAGAATGGGGTTCTTTGAATATTTTAGTAGTTTTTAATAGTTGAATACAAGAGTCTATTATAGCGAGACTCAGACCAAAGGTCCTAGGTTCGAGTTCGCGTGCGGGATCGCGGTTTAGCACTGCTAAGGAGTCTCATGCTAGAAAGAAACGGTCGTCCAGTGCTTCCAGGCTTTTCATGGTAGTCTAGGTTTAATTGACTCATAAATTCAACCATAAAAAGTAAGAAGAATAGTTTAGAATTTCCACAAAATAAAACGGAAGCTTCAAGTAGACTAACATGGATCTATGATATTTCATTATATTCTTATCAGCTGCCTGGAATGAAAATATAATACTTTCATAATAAATGAAGTTGTCGAAAGACGAAATTATTGTTCGTTTAACTCTATCGTTATTTTGCCTAATGATGTAGATAATGTAAGTTAGCAAAAGCCAAACAAGCTTTCTAAATCTATTCAGAGATTTCGACAGACACCAACCCATTTGCGCTGACCAGACTTTTAAGGCCACTTCACTTATCTTAGAAGTCTGATCCACCCTAATGGGTTGGTGTCTGACGAAATCTCAGCACGGATTCGAAAATCTCGTTTGGCTTTCGTCAACTTACGTCACCTATGGCGAAGGCGAGATATCCGTCTAACAATTAATCGGCGAGTATACTGTGCAGCAGTTCGTTCTGTTTTACTTTACGGCTGCAAAACGTGACCATTAAGGATAGAAGATAATCTTAAGTTGCTAGTATTTGATCACAGATGTCTTACTAATATAACTCACATCTACTGGGATCACCGGGTAAGTAATAGTGAGGTTAGACTCAGGGTATTAGGGAATGATGGTAAATCAGTTGATGAGGTTATGAATCTTCATCGACTGAGATGGTTGGACCACATGTTGCGTATGCCTGAATGTTGATTACCACGACGCGCAATGCTTATCGGTGTTGGGGATGGTTGAAAGAAAGTTAGGTGCGACCAAACCAAAACGTGGCATCAGCACTTGATGTCACTAACTTCTAGTCTGAGCCATGTTGAAATGATTCAGGATCGATCACAATGGTATAGGTGTATACACTCTTTGTCTTCCCTTAAACTATGAGGTTAAAATCGCTTCATATCTTTCTTTCTACCTGTATTATATCGTTATATGCAATCGTTCTTTTACATATTACTACTATTGGAGTAACTACTTTTATGAATTTGGTGTTCATCTTGTTGTGCTAATGAGATGTAACAACTTGGAACGATGCATATATATGTGCCTGGTCCTACATTATAGCTGACTAAGTGATGATGATATTACTTAAATTTTAACGTAAACTACATATGTTGGGATCATGTATCAAATATAATGAGAATTCAAACGAAGATAATAAACATTATGGAATAAATAGAATATGTCTGACAGTTGGATTTAAGTAGAGCCTGTTTTGTTCTGTGCTCGAACCCTAACTAAAGTTTTAAAAAGAAAGGTAATCTAATTAAATATGAATTTTATGTTCAAATTAAAATGAACAATTAAAAAATCAATTATGGTCGTAACAAAAAGCTATAGCTAAAATGTATATATATAGATATTTGTAACATAATAATTGAATTCATGAGTCACTCGAAGCTAGACCATCATAGGATTCTTCAGCAGTGCACATCCACGATTCCGCTTTGCAAGATTCGTACCCAGGACCTATCAGTCTCACACGCGAGCACTTAACCTCTAAACCACTGAGTCATTTTCCATAATGGTCTATATTCAAATGACTCATGAAATCAACTATTAAATTACTATAATATCCACAAAACCCCTCTTTGATTAGATTTGTAATATTCCAATGAGTAGAAAAAAACTAGATTTTCTGACGTTTCGTTACTCAGTGTAAGCCACTTCTTCAGAGAACAAATGAGCCAATACAAACTAATCCAAGTTTAAATAGTACAAAGGAACAAAGTAAGAATATTATATGCGATCAATAAAAAAAAACAGGTCTGAACAAGTCAATTTTATGTCATTTCGGTTAAGGTGATTTATAAGCGACATGTATGTGAACGTGTGTGTGTGTACGTCTACAAGGTCAAGGATTTTAAAGTGTGACCTTTGTGGCGCGAAACGATAGAATTTAATTTGTATGTACCATAATAGTGTGAAATATGAATGATATCAGACTAGGTTGTTAGGATAGATAGTTCAAATTGGATGCATGGTAAAGCCTTCTTTTCTATTGAGGGCAGTAGGATTCAGTATTATATGGAAAACTTCAGCTACTCTTCTTTATTTGTAATTGGAAAAACGTTTTTGTATCCATGTATCCATGAGATATTGAATGGCTGTGGGTAATAGACAAGATGCCTTGAACTAAGATTTCGTGCTAGTTGACATTCTTCACAACAACTATCAACTAATATCAAAGTGAGAATCTTCAATATGAAAGTCAAGACAGTTCGACTGTGTGGAGCTGAAACGTGGAGAACTACTACAAACATCATCAAAAAGGTACAAGTATTTACAAACAGTTGTTTACGCAAGATACTCAATATCTAATGACCGGTTACCATCACCAACAGACTATTGTGGCAGAAGACAAACCAGCTTCCAACTGACGAGGAAATTAGGAAAAGACGTTGAACGTGTATAGGACGTATATAACGGAATTCACCAAACTGCACCACGATACAAGCGTTAACTTCGAATCCTAAAGGGAAACGGGAAAGAGGAAGGCCAAATAACACCGGCAATTGGAAGCAGACATGAAAAGGATGAATATCAACTGGAAGTGATTGCTCAAGACAGAGTTAGATGGAGAGTGCTGGTGGGCGGCCTATGCTCCTCCACGAGGAGTAACAGGCGTAAGTAAGTAAGTTTGACATTCTACAGTAAACTGTACTACTTGTAATCATGTGGGAACTAGTACTTGATGTGAGATAGAATATTGTGCAATCTTGAACCTTTGCTTATTGGTCTGTGCGTTGTATATGTATACATAATTCTCAAGATGTTGATAACAGTAATAATAATATTATTACTACTATTGCTTAAAATCATCTTCAGGTCAACCGAATCGATACATGCCTAACACAGGAACATGGTCTTATTGTAAGTATTGACTTGTTTTATCTGGTATATACTTTTCCATTTCTTTCATCTTTAAATTTATATTGTAATTATCACCGATAATAATCCTAATATCTCACTTTCGGGTTGTGTGTTACCTTCGATAACATCGGTAGCTCGATGATGTATTCATTAATCAATATGTTACCTTTTGTGACTGTGAATCTTGATCAACCTTTTTAGTTGATATATATATTACGCACCGTGTTGGTCACCTTCTACCTTGATAAATTATTATGGATAGGACAGGTATCGATTGAAAATAGGTAAGTACCAGCAAACTAAGACATGAAACTATTGACTGTTGAAATGAATTTTGTCGGGATATGTAGACTACTTGCTGGTTAAGATGTTTGCTAGCTTTAGGTTGTCTATCCACTCATCCGACAACCTTACTCAGGATCTTCGGTCTTACGAGAAAACGCCTAACCTCTAGATCACTGAGCCTGGATCCAACGGTATATACGTATAACTGTAATCAATTCAAAATATTATGCTACCATCTCCTATTGTCCTCAGTACCATCATTACGAAAAATATGCAAGATATTTTTAAACCTCCATTCATCAGGTGTCTATGGCGTTCATCTCATCAGTGTACAATTCTAAAAAAACATTTTCTGACATATCTATATAGAGTTTATTTACAAAACGGATGATATAGACAGCACAGCTAACATCTGTGTCCAGAATCACAACGCTGGACAATAGTCGAAATGATAATTAATAACACACAAATTGTGGTGTGTCGCTCAATTTTGTGGATTAGTTGAAGTTAGACATTAATACCGTTGGATGCCGGCTCAGTGATCTAGTAGTTAAGAGCTCGTGAGCGAGACTGATAGGTCCTGGGTTTGGATCTCGTGAGGTGAGATCGTGGATGCGCACTGCTGAGGTGTCCCACAATAGGACAGAACGGCCGTCCAGTGTTTCCATGGTGGTCTAGCTTCAATTGACTCATGATTTTAACCATGAAAATATGTTACACGTGCTTAAAAATTTATCGAAATCAACTTAAGTACTGAAAATTATTAAGTAATATAATTTAGTGCACAAAAAAAGAAGTAGATAGGAAAGAAATACAGATAAGAGATGCAAACAGAAAAGTTACAACACAATTATTGGTCATGGATACGTTGTGGACGATTTCAACCTTTTAAAAAACTTTTTCATTCAATTAGCAAGTGGCTACCAAGACTCGGTAGCTGAGTGGATAACGCGATGACGTTTGAAGCGAACAGTACTGGATTCGAGTCCCAGAGTGAACATCAACTCTAATTTACAGCTATATCCAGCTGACGAGTCTCAAATAGGACGAAACGCGCCTTGTCCTGGATTCCACTATTAGCCACTTGATCATTTTTGCTTATAAAGCTTGTGAATTAAGGCAATATCGAGGCATACGCATAGTATGCACATATATGCCAATAACAGACTGATCAATTGCAGTCTTAACAAACTCAATGAGAAGATACAAGCCAAACAATACCAAGTGAATTCAATTTGTTTGTTATCAGAAAGTTATTGTCAATAAAATTGGATTATTCATATATGATATTTATTATCTTCTTATTGTTTCAACTACAAGCTTATTGCTTCACAGCCAAGTGGAGGATTTGCACATTTACATCGAAAATTTGAAAAATATCACGATATAGTTGCGTAAGTCCTTCAATTAGTTAAATTTCAAGTGTTTACATTAAAATAACCGTAATTATTATTATTACAAACGGGCACCGAATACATATGCAGTACATAAATCATTCGATTTGTTTAAGGGCTGTGATACTGCCCGGATGCCTAGACTGAAACAGGTGATTTTCTTGAGGAAACGCACCCCGAGCCTTCGACCTAAAGGTTTGATCCACAAGGCAGTGGAGTAATGTCAGAAGATGCAGTCCTATGGTAACCGGTCACCAATATTTGGTTCATACGTCATTTGTTCCTTCAGGATACTGTAACCCATGTGCACTATTGATTTGGAATCAGGGTTTTCTAACTCTCCTAGATGGATCCTCCGGGTTAAAGCGCCGGACATTCGCTTTTCGTCATCTCAATTTCGTAAACAACAGGTATACCGCACGAAGGCAGTGAGTAGGAGTTCCCTAGTAGTCGTTGTATACGCGTGGTCATGTAAGAGGGTGAGTGAACTCTCCACTCGGCCGTATCAGGGGGGCATTTTAAGCTGTATTCACACTTTCATTGGGTGGTATTTTCAGTAGGCACTTTTAGTCTCTTATTCCATCTGCTGAAATGAATTTGACTTTCAGACCCGGTGTATCATTAATAGGATTTGTTAACAGAATATATGATGTAAGTAGGATTTGTATTTCATCTACATCAGTAAAAATTCAGACATTATGGAGTTATTCCATGGCCCTACGTAAATACACTTAGTTAGGCCTTCATTTTGATTTTGCAAAATCACACCACAGCGGTGAATTATCTCGTTTTTTTAAATCAAACAATGAGTTTACTCTGTAGCAAACGATTTTTAGCCATGTCATTCAAGGTCTCTAACCATCGGTTACTATCATCTCGCGGTCCCCAACCAGGTAGTCTACACCTACCAACATGGCTCAGTCCACTTATCTGTGACTTCATGGATTTGTGCCACGTTTTGGTCTTGCCGCCCCTAGCTTTCTTCCAACTTATTCCTACACTATAAAACATCGCACGTCGTGGCAGTCGGTGGTCTGACATGCGCAACACGTGTCCCAGCCATCTCAACTGATTAAGTTTCACTACTTCGTCAATTGATTTGCCATCCTTACCTAGTACCCGTTTCCTAACAACTGAGGTACTTACTCGGTGGTCCCAGGATATACGAGCAATGTTTCGAAGACACCTATGATCAAATACTAGTAACCTACGAATATCCTCTACTCTTACTGACCATGTTTCACTGCCATAAAGTAGGACGGAACGAACTGCTGCGCAGTAAACTCGTCCTTTGATTGATAGACGGATATCTCGCCTACGCCACAAATGACGCAAGTTGGCAAAAGCTAGTCGAACCTTCTGGATCCGTGTTGAGATTTCGTCACACACCAGACCACAAGGGCTGATGAGACTTCCCAGATAAGTGAAGCGGTCGACACGCTCAACTACTTCACTCCCTATCACTAGTTCGGGTGTCGACGCAACCCAATCCTGAAGCAACATTTTGCATTTCGAGGGAGAAAATCGCATGCCGAACATGCTTGCATTATTGCTTAGAGTGGTCAGTAGACTCTGCATTCTGTCAGCGTCTTCACCAAATAGAACTATGTCATCGGCATATTCTAAGTCAACAAGTGGATCTCCCGGTAGAAGTTCAACTCCTGGAAATTTAGATGAGGAAAGTGTCATCTCTAAAAGGACGTCAACGACAAAGTTAAACAAGAATGGAGAGAGTGGACAGCCCTGACGAACACCACTTGAGGTAATCAATTCTGATGACAGTTCACCATAAGCTCTCACTCGACCAGTTGTGTTCGAGTAGAGAGCCTTTATAAGGTTAATGTACTTCTTTGATACTCCTTTCAGTGACAAACACTGCCATAGAACCTCACGATCAACAAAGTCGAATTCCGCCTTAAGGTCGAGAAATACTAATATTGTGGGGCGTCTGAATGTGTGTCTATGTTCTAGGACCTGACGTAATGTGAATATTTGATCAATACAACCACGTCCAGGTCGAAAACCAGCCTGGTTTTCTCTAGTCTGCTCTTCACGAGCTTTGGTTAGACGTCGAAGTATTATTGAAGCTAATATTTTAGACACTATATTAGTCAAACTAATTCCTCTGTGATTGTCACAGGAGGACTTTTGTCCTTTCTTATAGACTGGTACAATCAGTGATTGAGACCAGTCAGATGGGATTACGTCCAGTTCCCAGATTCTACCTAAGACCTCAGTCAATCTCGCTGCTAATACTGGACCGCCATCCTTAAAAATCTCAGGGGTAAACCTGTCAGGGCCTGCTGCTCTCCCAGGCTTCAGATTTCCTATAGCTTTTTCAACTTCGTAAAGAGTCGGAGGACTTACATCAACTTGCCATTCAGGTCGACTGGAGATCGTGGGAAACCGAAGTGTGGCTGAAGGCCAGTTGAACTGATCCCTAGTGTTCTGCCCATCGATCCAATCTCCTGGATTGAGAATGAATAATATGTCCATCTTTCTCTGCGATTGTTTCGCTAACAGTTGGGTTCCTAATACCGGTTTCCTTAACAAGTCTGAACAGTTGCCTGCTGTTACCTATTGCCGCTGCCTTTTCCATCTCTCTTGCTTTCGCTACCCACCACTGTTCACGATCTTTGCGTAGGCTTCTAGTCAGCTTACGCTTAAGCTGACTCCGCTCTTCGTTATGTTTAGAGCCAGATGGAATGAGTTTTCGAGCATCTATCAGTGCGGTAGACGCTGCTGAGATCCAGTGTTTCTCCCTAACCTTATGATTTACCGTACTTGCAGACATCCCTGCTGTTTCTACAGCTTTTCGGATGTCATTCCACGCTGCCTCGGGGTGGGCATCAGTTACATGGCTGCCTAACATTTTCTAGTTGTTCCTGAAATATACTCTTAGCTTGACTATCATTAAGTAGGACCCTAAGGCGTTTCTTTGCACCATCTTTCCTACGTCCAGTAAGACGTAGACAAATACGCACTCGCACTAGAGCATGATCTGAGTCTAAGCATGTGCTCCAGAATGAGCGACAGTCTTCTATCGAGCCCCTCCATCGGTGGCTGATAGCGATGTGATCTATTTGGGTCCAGCGTTGAGACGAATTAGGGGGTCTCCATTTTAAAAGATGTTTTTCCTTATGTTTAAAATTAGTGTGTAAGGAACAGGCGGTTATCTGAGCAAAGCTGCAACAGACGGTCACCGTTATCTGTTCTTTGAGCCGCGACACCTTAAGATCCACCCAGGTGTCTTTCCCTTTCAGCTTAGTTTACCTACTTGAGCATTAAAGTCACCAGCCACTATTGCTACATCTGAACGCCTAGTTTTTCGGAGAAGGTCGGAAAGCTTTCTGTAAAACTCATCTTTTACATTATCTGAGCTGCAGTCAGTGGGAGAGTAGGCAGAGACGACGAAGAGGCAACGACGAGTGTCCTTATCTTTTCGAGTCCTTACTGTTCCGTTTAGTCGGATAGCGCACAAACGACTGTCTACTGGGATTCAGTCTAAGAGAGCTAGTTCCGCTCTAGGACTCAATGCTATACCTACGCCAGCGAGGCCACGGGAAGCAGCACCAGGGCTTCCAGATACACGAGGCGTAAATCGAGTCGGATACTGTATGCGCGTTTCGGAGACGCAGCACACATCGATGGAGCGAGATTCTAAAGTTCTAGCTAAGGAGGCCTGTTGTTCTATTTGGCACAGTGTTCGGACGTTGAAAGCTCCTACGTGTAGTTTAGAGCGTGGTTTCAGGAGACCAGGAATAACATTCCGCGTACTCGAATCGTTCACACTAGTGGGGCGAGGTGATAAAGGGACGTGAGAAGGGTTAGTCGTGGAGATAAGAGAGTTATTAGGAGGTGTAGGAAGGATTTGAATGTGACCAACTTGGTCTCGTGTGCTGTTACGGGTATGAGGGCTGATGTCATTTCTCGGCTGCCCACACCGTGGAAGGGTATTTCTTGAGGAACCTGAAAAGGAAATCGGATTAGCGTTGGTCTTAACGACCTGAGTGCGTGACCACAGAGCCCAAGGGATAAATGCTTGAAGCCGGTCGCGCACGGCCTTTTTGTGGGAGGTTTCTTTATGTGTTAGCTCCGTTCTTCAAAGGGCCTTATCGACGGAGACGGAAATCCGTGGGGTAAGGTGAGACATTTTTAGGGTCGACCTTTTCTAACCCCTTCCTTCCTTGTGAGAAGGCAGCATCTCTGTAGATGCTGGTTGTCCGAGGGAAACACCTTACTGCTGTCACACCTCTGTACAGTCAGCAGTACGACTTCGCCCTCAGACCTTGAGTTGCTGTTTTTAGTCTTACCGTTCTCCAATCGACCTGCCTGGCATGGTAGAATCTGTAGGAACATGTGTTCCAGCCAATATAGCTCGGTTGGGTCATCACGATAGGCAAGCCCGACCACCACGTCAAGGTAGCAGCTACTGTCTTAATGATATAATAGAATTAGGAACTGAACTTATTAATGCAAGAGTATAATAGAGTGAAGCGAGGAATGAGTTAGGATTCTGAGCCAAAATAGTTTGTTCGCTGGTATTTTTGATTAATACTTTCTTTATGAAAAATTTATATTGCTAGCTTAGTCCTCGAACTCAGAACCTACAACTATTTACTTTGTTCCATCTAATAAGATATGAGGTTTAAATTAGATTTTTCTTAATTATGTCACTAAATCAATATTTGATAATATGGAGTAAGCAAGATACCTTTGCAAATGAAAAAACAACTTCGAGTTGGATTTTTTTTTTTATCGAGATCATGAACCGACTGATGTTAGACCACTATTGAAAACCTGGAAGCACTGGACGGCCGTTTTGTCCTGTTGTGGGACTCCCCAGCAGTGCGCATCCACGATCTCGCGCGCGAACGCTTAACCTCTAAACCACTGAGCTGGCCGGTATCCAATGGTGTCAATGACTAACTTCGACCAATCCACGAAATTGCGCAACCATCTTCCATTGTACTGAGGTAGATACCTGTCTTTACCCGACACGGATTAACTCTACTAGTCACGACTTCTCACAAGAACTCGAAGAATTCCCTCAGGAAGTTAGTCACTAGGGAGCACATGGTAATTATCAGTATAGGGTTGTGGAGATTATCAAGTTTTTGATTGAGATCATGAAGTTGAAGTTAAACATTAACACCGTTGGAAGCCGTCTCAGTTGGCTGGAGGTTAAGCGTTCCAGCGCGAAACTGAAGTCTCTGTGTTCGAACCCCGTCAGAGGGATCGTAGATGCGCACTGTTGAGGAGTTCCACAATAGAACGAGACGGTCACTTAGTACTTCCAGGGTTTTTCTTCTCCCATTAAACTAATTTTATATTTTCTTCCATACTTATATCAATTTAATGATGATATTCTTATTTTCAATAGACCAACATTAACCTATTATCCTCCACGTGTGACAAGTTCTAATAATTTAGAAACACGTACATGGCTTATTGGTAATGTGAAACATTCAAATTGTGATAATAACACTACTACCACTACTACTACTGCTAACTCAAATAAGATATCCTGTTTACTTTGTTTATGTACGGCTGATGGAAATATGCGACTTGTCGATCCAACAATACATGGTAATGATAATGATGAATTAATTATATGGTCAATTCAAGTGCATACACGTAGTGAATTATTTGCTTTATGTAAAATGAAATTAACTGTAAGTTGTTAGTTTTATACTACTATATATAATGTAGAGAGAGAAAGAGAAAGTTTTGTACCTTACTACTTGAGTTGTACAGTATATCTACTTTGTGCATTGATCGAAGTTCGTGTTATTAAAATGAGTTCTCTAAGCCAAATAGTTTAAACTCTAAGTTTCCGTTGTCGTTTTGGATAACGCTATTGACAATTACTTCTTCTAGAAGTTTAAAACTGTTACACGATGGGGTAAAATAGAAGTCCTTAACTCCATGAATTAGACCTCCGCTTCCTTGTAGTATATATATATATATATATATATATATATATATATATATATATATTACTAGAATGGGTTTTGTGGAGAATTGGTAATTTCAATAGTTGAAATCATGAATCAATTGAAGCTAGACCACCATGGGAAACCTGGAAGCACTGGACGGCCGTTTCGTCCTAGTATGGGACTCCTCAGCAGTGCGCATCCACGAACCCGCACCCCGCGGGATTCGAACCCAGGACCTATCAGTCTCGCGCCAGGCGCTTAACCAACTAGACCACTGAGCCGGCATCCAACGTGGATGCGCACTGCTGAGGAGTCCCATACTAGGACGAAACGGCCGTCCAGTGCTTCCAGGTTTCCCATGGTGGTCTAGCTTCAATTGATTCATGATTTCAACTATTGATATATGTATATATATATATATATATATATATATATATATATATATATTGAGGAAAGCACCCATTTATTTATTTTAACACATAAGTATAGGTACAGGGAGGCACCAAATACATATGCGCCACACAAATCTCAATTGATTTGTGTGAGGGCTGTGATAATGCCCGGGTGCCCAAACCGAAGCAGGTGGTTTTCTTAGGGGGCCACATCCCGAGCCTTTGACCTGAACGTCTGACCCACAAGGCAGTGGAGCATCGTGAGGAGATGCAGTCCCATGGTAGCCGGTGACCAACGATTGTTTCATACGCCATTTGTTCCCGCAGGATACTGGAGCCCATGTGCAACATTAGTTTGGGGTCCGGTTAAAGCGCCAGACATTCGCTTTTCGTCCTCTCATTTTTGTAAACAACACCCCCACCACGAGAAGGCAGTGAGTAGGACTTCCCTGGCAGAGGCTATATACGCATGGCCATGTGAGAGCATTTCGAGAGGGAGAGTGGACTCTCCCCACTCTCGGGCGTACCAGGGCATTTGGGGGCACCCAACTGCGTCACAAGGCAAGCGCTCACTTGGAATCCTCAAGACCAAAGAACATTTTATGCCGAGTAATGGAGACAGACATGAGAAGAATGAACAACAATTGAATAGAACTAGAACGGAAGGCCCAGGATAGAGTAGGTTGGAGAATGCTGGTCGGCGGCCTATACTACATTGGGAGTAACAAAAGTAATTATATATATATATATATATATATATATATATGTTAGGGAGACATGTATACTGTAAGGGAGTGAATGATTACCTAGTTGAAGTACTTCACAGATGTATGATAAGACTGAATTCAAACGATCTATTTATAACATAGTATACTTATCAGTAAAATATTAATATTTAAAGCATTCAACTATCAATCGTTGGATCCTGTTATTTCAAAACTTGTCTTGTCCTTATTCTGATTGATTAATTAAACAGATAAACAAGGCAAACGACACCAAATTATCCTTAATGATTAATTCCCATATGTAATTTTGTTCACTCTTTCTCTTTCTCTCTCTTTTGTTTTCTTTTTCTCTATGATTAGAAAGATGATGGTGATCAATTAGTTGTTTGTTCATGGGATGGTACTACATATATATTTGATATAAATAATAATTCATTATGTTTTCCATTAGGACGTTCATGTCAAGCATTTATAGCTGGATTATATGCTATAGAACCTGGTAGAAATTCTTCTGTATTAATCTATTCAACATTTGATCGTAATACTTTAATTTATTATAATTTATGCTTAAATAATGTTGCTGCACAAAGTTTACATAATACAATATTAAATGATTATGCATTAGTAAAGAAATTTCAGATAAAAAATGTTGATCGTAAGTTGTACATAATAAACTTTTACTGTTATATATTCATTTGGTATAGTTTACTTGAATCTTTCAATTGATCTCTTTAGGACTGTAATTGACCAGTCTGTTATCGGCATATATGCATCTTGTGCGGATTGCCTAGATTATTGCCTTAATTCACAAGTTTTGTAAACAAAGATGGTTCAGTGGCTAATAGTGGAATACAGGACAAGGCGCATTTTGTTCTATTTGAGACTCATCAGCTGGATATAGCTGCATCATAGAGTTGATGTTTACTCTGGGACTCGAATTCAGTACTGTTTGCTTCAAACGCCATCGCGTTATCCACTTAGATACTAAGTCCTAATGTATTATTAAAGGTCATATAAATTTTTATATGCGATAAATCTGTTAGCCAAACGTGATACTTAGTACTCGTCAACAAGGTGTACCTATATTCTTGAGGGAACTGGTGCTCCCTGACGGATTCGATCTAGTGTCACCCAGCTTTAAAGTCAGAGACGTTAACACTGGGCTATCCGGACTGCTCTGGTACGGCCGAGAGTGGGAAGAGTCCGCTCACTGCCTTCTCATGGCGAGGGTGTTGTTCACGAAATTGAGAGGACAAAAAGCGGATGTCCGGAGCTTTAACCGGGTTGGTGGACATGAAGAATCCACCTAGGGGAGTTATAAAACCCTGATTCCAAACGAATGGTGTACATAGGCTCCAGTATCCTGAGGGAACAAAGAGCGTATGAACCAATCGTTGGTCACCGGCTACCATGGGACTAAATCTCCTCACGATGCTCCACTGTCTTACGGATCAGACCTTTAGGTCGAAGGCTCGGGGTTTGGCCCATTAAGAAAACTACCTGCTTCGGTTCGCGCACCCGGACAGTATCACAGACCTCACACATATCAATTGAAATCTGTGTGGCGTATATGTATATGGTGCCTCCTTGTACCAATATCTATGTGTTCAAATAATAATGTTAATCAAACAATAGCTTATTGTTATTAGCTATTACGTCATTGAATTGAAACTTGTTCTATCCACTTCTGTTTTCAAACAGTCCTAATTAATGTATAACCTAGCATAAACATGCATTTTAAATCAACACAACAATATGAAATTGACAAGATGAATACCAAGTAAGTCGAAATAATCATAATACCCATTATAGTCGGAAAGACTATACACTGATAATACAGTTTGAGAAAACAGAATGAAAAGGTATGTATGATAGGATACTAGAGCCGAAAACCTAAAGGAGGATAAAAACGGAATACATATGTGCTACCTTATTGATTCCTACCCATATCCAACCAGGTAGTCTACACTTATCAACACGTCTTACAGATCAATAATCAATGTTGGTTCCAACAACCATATAATATCTGCATCACCCCCCCCCTAATGCATCATATACTATAAGCGCCTCAAAACTTATTATTCTACAAAGTATGTGAGGCTATTATTGATAAGTTTGTCAGACAATCCACTTCAATACTCGAATTTAGAACCATTCTGATGACGTTAAGTAGAGTATTAGATTAGAGATATTATGAACTGATGAAACTTAAATATTGCCTCTTATGTTTCAAATATAGGTCATATAATCATACACTATTGAGAAGTCCCATTTTCAATAAAACAATTATCTATTACTCAACTGTCAGTTCATACAAACTACTTCCAATCTATAATTTACTTATAAATCATTTACCAATTACAAAATTATGTACTATATTCTGTATTACAGACAATTAGAACTCCATTTTAACGTCCTAAAAACTCAATAGTCAGGTACCCGTAAAACCTCGAGATTTTGATGGAGTTTTGTTCTCTGAGCTGAATGGTTTGGTCGTGGAGCTTTCATCGTTCTTCTGAACGACATCATCAACACAAACTTCAGATTGAAGTGAAATGTTCGAATTTCTCCATATGCGTTTCACAGCTTGTTCTGTACACCTCGATGTTGATTGGTTATTAGTAAGGTGTAAAGCACGAGCTCTGTCGTTCTTCACGTTGTCACAGAAACCGATAACCTATTCTTGAGCACATTGTATCTCGTAGCGTCTCAATCACGTGAAGAGCGCTGCTAGAACTTAGGAAAGAGCTACGTACTGCCATTATACGGTGAGAGATTCTAAATTTCCATAGAGATCGGAAGCCGTATGTTAAATTCGTATGTTGGAGAAATGGCCGTAGAACACCTAGCAGTTCCTCACAGCCGAGAATAATGCAAACTACTGAATATTATTAAGTAGTAGAAATAAATTGAGTTAAAACATGCAAAATTAATTCGACACCGAACGAGTGAATCAGAAGCGGCGCCAACCTCAGTGCTTAATGCTAACGTACAATCGGTTCACAAAGAATTTTGTACAAAACGTGATAACTGAGCAGCTATAACAAATAAAACGGCGAGACTATAATTTGTGGACAAATCAATCAGGTATAAGATAACATCTCGGATTATGGCGCGAAAGCCTTTCATCTATTTGGCTAAATAGATTTTTGGCATTACAGCTGATGCCAGTTCGTGATGAAAACGCTATATATAATTCCTAACTAAGGCAGATTGACAATTATTGCGAACTGGATAATGAAAGCACCAGCAACACTGTCTGCAGCCAGGTACTACTATGGATGTTTGGGGAGCGTACAGACTCCTACACAGACTTGCTTATGTGCATCGTGTCATTATCCACAAATTGCATTTTGTAAACTCAACAACTGGAGTGCACACAAACAGTATTAGAACTATGTGGTCGAGGCTGAAAGAGTTTTCGAGACTTTATCATGGTTCCAGAGGCCGACTATTCTGTAGCCATATGGATGATTTCCTCTACTGCACCTCAGAATCTCTTTCTACCCTTGACAAGTTTTTGAGCCACATATAAGAAGTGTATCCACTTTATTTCTTTGGTTTTATATAATATAGTTTTACTTTATACTAACAGTTTTTTAACTGGTTAATATCTCAAGATCATTTAAGATTCGTCCAAATGTCATCTATAAATTATAGTCTCGCCTGGACACCTTTACATTCATTCATTTTGCTAAATGAAGTTTTGGCATTGTAGCTGATGTCATATCGTGATGAAATCCCCTAATCATCATTATTTATCATTTATTTATTTATTTTAACACATAAGTATAGGTACAGGGAGGCACCAAATACATATGCGCCACACGAATCTCATTTGACATGTGTGAGGGCTGTGATACTGCCCGGGTGCCCAAACCGAAGCAGGTGGTTTTCTTAGGGGGCCACACCCCGAGCCTTCGACCTGGACGTCTGACCCACAAGGCAGTGGAGCATCGCAAGGAGATCCAGTTCCATGGTAGCCGGTGACCAACGATTGGTTCATACTCCATTTGTTCCTTCAGGCAGGATACTGGAGCCCATGTGCACCATTGATTTGATTTGGGGTCCGGTTAAAGCGCCGGACATTCGCTTTTCGTCCTCTCATTTTTGCAAACAACACCCCCGCCACGAGAAGGCAGTGAGTAGGACTTCCCTGGCAGAGGCTATATACGCATGGCCATGTGAGAGCATTTCGAGAGGGAGAGCGGACTCCCCACTCTCGGCCGTACCAGGGCATTTGGGGGCATCAACTGTAAATCATAATTCTAATTCCTCACATTGGTTTATAAACCGCATTTCGTTCTAGTTATTAGATGAATACTCTCAAGGTCACTCTGGCGTCGCTCAAAGGTCATCCACAAACTATAATTTCACTAATGGACCATAATGGAAACCGCTTCTATTACGTAAACGATCATATCAACAGTAGTCATTACTTAAAATATAAATTTTTTGAACTGGAATCTATGTGGCTACATGATCTCACTACTAGTATAAATCAATCGATATCTTTGTGTTCTACCTATCGCTCTATAATAATAATAATAATCAACTTTTTTTTTGTAAATACATTTTCTAGCCTATGATTCTGCACAATTATCCAAAGCAATTCATTATATCCTATACGATTTACCTAAACAAGAAACTCATCTATTACAATGAGTTCAGTTGGAAACATCTAGTTAGTTGTTGTTTTTTTTGTGTGTGTGTGTGTGGTTTAAATGAAATAACCTAAACTCAGTATTACTTTATGATATTTCAGTTTAATAATTAAATTACCTTCAATTTATTAAACTGAAACAAACATGTTTATGTATTGTACTGATTTTCTACCTTCTGTAATATGTATGATAATGAGTTCTTTTCTAAAAACACTGATCCAAGCTTCTTTATATACAATGAAATTTCTTGGATGATTTATCATTCAAGATGAAAACCTGCATACAAATAGTAACCACATCATTAGGACTAATTAGTGAATGATAGTGCTGTTAGAGGTATAATGTTAGTTATCACTTCTCAATTGCCCAAACTGTGAAAGGGTTCTTCTCGAGGTATCTGAAAAGGAAATTGGGTTAAAGATGGTCTTAGTGACCTGAGAGTGTGACCTCAGTGCCCAAGGGACAACTGCTTGAAGTCGGTCACACACAATCGTTTTGTGAGTCATTTTTTGTGTTAGCTTCAAACTTGTTGAAACCTTACCACCGAAGACAAATATTCGTGGGATAAAGCGAGGTGTGCATTTTTAGGATAGACGTTTTTTTGGCCCCAACCTTCCTTTGTAGGAAGACAGCATCGCTGTTATGCTTGTTGTTTGAAGGGAACACCTTATTGCCGCCACACTTCTGTAAAGTCAGGAGTACGACTTCGCCTTCAGACATTGAGTTTGCTGCTTTTAGTCTTATCGTTCTTCAACCGACCTGTCTGGCATGGTAGAACCTTTAGGACCGATTGTTCCAGCCAGTATAGCTCTGTTGGTTCATCACAATAAGCAAGCGCGACCACCACGTCAAGATAGCAACAACGGTCGTGAATTAAAAGTATGAAGATATTAAATATTCGAGGGTATACATACATTGTGGGAAATCTCAATATCGATGCTCGCATAGTAACTTATGATTAATAGAACTGGCACACATAGGCGAAGTCAGTCTTATTGATAATCACAATAAACATCAAATAGTCATGAGAATTAAGAACTTATCGAAGATATTGTAAATAAAAAGTCACTATCTTATTAATAAAATATGTGTTTTGAATTGCAATCATTGGAAGAAATAATGAATGTCTCACTTTTTTCAACTTACTATCACTGACTAGTCAAGAATATAATGATCTATGCATATATTTACGCTAGTTAATCATATCATTTTTATACTCCATAGTAAAAAGTAAAGGTCGATTACACTTTACATAGACAATTCCATCTAATAATCGATTCGAAGTTGAAACAATATCATCAAATGAGAGTATCCCATTATCTATTGAATGACAGTAGAGGAAAATAACATAGATACTATTAATATATACCATATATATGTAAAAGTGTTTAGACAATCAGAATAAAGTATTCTTATGGGAATATTCTAGTTGTAACACTTACTAATCCTTGTTACTGTTTATCTAAACAATGAAGACTATTCTTCTAATCGGTCATTAATGATAGGATCCAGTAGCTGCGTTTCATAATATAACCAAGGTGTCTTCATGATAATATGATCTTTGTTTATCGAATAGATCAGGTAAATGATCAACTGATGATCATTGAGTATGTGTTAAATAACTTAATCTTTTGCGCTATCTACGTACAGCTCAATTTGTGTTGTAGATTATTTTATGTTTAGGATGCATATGACTTATATTCAATTATAGTAGAAAGTAACGATTTTCAGTGTAACAATCTCAACTGATCCAGAGGGCGAGACTATAACTCATGGACGAATCAATCACATTTAAGATAGGTCTTGGATTTTGACACAAAATTCATTCATTCATTTGGTTAAATAGAGTTTTAGCATTTTAGCTTATGTCAGTACGTGATGAAAACATTAAATCTAATTCCTAACCCTACTATTCCACTGTAAATTCTAACCCTGGTTCATTACACTAATATATAACCCTAATAAGTAGGTGGATATTCTAAGGTCATTTTAACGTTGCTTAAAGGTTGTCCATAGATTATAGTCTTACCATCCAGAGATTAGTCAGATTTTATGTTTATTCAGCAATATTATCACAATTGTCCACAATTTTGACAAAAAATTACCCAAGTCCCATTGAAGACCTGTAGTTGTTACTTGACATGGTTGTCCAACAGGTATTAAACCTACATGTTGTGCTTCATATCCTGTGCTAGCATGAATAGTATGTTCACCCTAAAAAGTATTGTTACTAGATTAGATGATATACAAAAATAGATACTTACTTCATCTAACAAGAAAGTGACTGAGCACTCGCTTACCAAAAGCAATGGGATGTTAGTTAACTTCTTTGTTTCATATAGAGTTTTAATTAATCCCATTTCATGATCGAACCTTCCACCGCTCATTTGCACTGCAACAAGCACATCTAATTCCGCCTGAACGCTCAAATTAATCGTTCAACTATATGCGACTTGCATTGTTTTTTTCTATACTATTGATAATTATACGTACACATTTTGTGAAATCAGTTTCTTCTTGATCAGGTGTTTCAATGACTGAAACATTCTCCTGATCATAATCGCTAGAACATTAAGAAAAATGAAGAATCTTACTGCTGAACGATAAAATTCTAAAACTTCTGGTTGAATAGAATCGAAATCTCCAGTTAAAAAATGTGGGAAATAATCATTTCTGTAATTTTTATCTCTGTAAATATGGTTTGCAAACCCATCTACGAAAGCTACAGGATAAGCTGAATAAAAGAAACAAAGCTATTATGAATAGGAGATAATACCGTTTTTCCATAGTCGTTTAAAAAGTGTCTCCGGTAAAGATGTTGGATGATTTAAGTAAATAACAGCCTTCTTTATATCTGTAAGCGGACACTAGTATACAAAGTCTTTTTACCGTCTTTAAAAATAGATAGAGGTGTATAGATCATCTTTATCTAAAATAATACAAAAAGTTAAGACATTATGTTTGCTAACTAGTCAGACTACGAGGAATAATAATAGTGATGCTCACAAAAAAAATACTGAAATGAGACATAACTAAATGTAACCAGTTACATACAAATAAGTGTTACCTGTAAACATAGTACGAAACAGGTCAGAACTAGCTTACGTTTTTCTAACTGATAATAACAAAGTCTAGACAAGACAAAAACAGAGCAATGATGATTTAAGCAAAGTTAAAGACTTGGAGAAAAAACAGCAAACTTGTTATGGTTATGATAGTATAATTTTTAAGACCAGAAATGTCGATACCACCGCAACTTCGTTTCATAACACCTGGTCTTTAACCACTGATGATATCCAAAACAACCATAGAAATACTAAACCGGGGCGAAAACGCATTCACTTAGAATAGTAAATAACACTATTTGAAATAAACCTCAAATGCTGATCAACGACTTGATTTGTAACCTACCTAACTCTTGGAAAACTAATTACATCTAAGTAGGTGCAGATGATTAGACCCCTTACCTAGATTTATACATGGTTGTCTAGGGTGGATTACCAGACTTTGGACCCTATGGTCAAATCATTTACTTCCGAGAACCGGCCTCTGACATCGCTTTCAAACCACTGGAGTTCACCTACCGGGACCCATCGTGTCACTACTTCCAGGTGACAAAACTTTCGGTAGAGACGAAGATCCGTAGCTTCATATTGAACCAAGACTTACGTTCTTGTGACAATAAAAGTATAGTTTATGAACTATCTTAATACAACAACTACGAATTTCCAGATAGTTCTTAGTCATTCAGGAAGCAGCCATTGTAGATGGATAGTCTGTGAGGAAAATAATATTCCACAGCACGAACCGATATGATATAATTAGTAAGACGACCAATGTCTTCTACAGGATATCCTATCTATAAATATAAATAACGATATATTGACACATCGTAATAGATATAGAATATGGGACTCTTTGAAAGACCTAGACATGTTTTCCTGGTTAAGACTAGGTGTTTCAAGTAAAGACTAGAGGTTTATGGCTTAGATCCTCGCTAAGAAATGACACAATCTATGACGTGAATTGCTCTGCAACCAGCCAGTAAATGACCCAAGCTCTCAATTTCGGGGAAAATCTTACACATTTTGGGGAAGCCGCCATAATAAACCTTGGGGAAATGGCACAAAAACCCCAAACGTTGGATTTTCTTCCCCAAAATGTACCCAAACTTTGGGGAAGGCTGTTTCACTTTGGGGATTTCCCCAAAGTTGGGAGCTTGGCGAATTATGCTCGGAAGCACAAGAGACACTATTTGAATAATTTGTGCATAAAATGTGGTTCTAAAAGATCAATGTTCGTTTTAGCAATAAGGATTTAAGATGACAACTTAAAGATATTATCGATTTTCCTATTGTTTACCATCAAAATTGACGAAATTAGGTGTGCAATGTGTTTAGCATTATCATCTCTCTAAATGGTTCTAAGAAATAATTTTACATCTTGAGCAGAATTCGAAAGTGATTTTACTGCTAGTATTACGTGATATTCGGATTTCTGACTAGTTTGTCTCTAAAACATACTTCTAGTCTAAACGTCACCGTAACTCCCAGTTTCAAACCTCTTCATATTTTAAGGTCGTCCTCAAAATATCTTCAATATCTTTGTATAAACCTATTGATTTCTTTGCACCCGCTTCTTTTTATGCAGGTATAGTTCCTATTATTTGATAGTCTTCAATAACTGATAGTCTAGCCACTTGACTGAACTAATTCTGGTCAGTTTGATAGTCATTAGTATGTCATGTAGTTTGAGTGAGAGCATTTGTCTCAGAACGGTGGTGTTTCTGGATGCCATCAACTATCACATTACGAAGCAGAAGATCGGTTGGTTGTGATGTGGAAACAGTAAAGTGATAATTCGAACGCAAACAGATGATTGTTTCAATTATACATAAATAAGCTGTTGAATTTGTAAGGTATATGAAGACAGAATTGCAAGAATAAGAGGAGACGGAAATATTAATAATAGAAGTGGAAGTTAGTTACTGATATCCGTCATTCATGATCTTGGTAATTTATGAGACATACATTTGACACAGATGGTGCAAGAAGGTGTAGCGGTGAACAAATCCCCCAAATCAATAGCTCTGTAAGTTTCCGACATTGAATGCTCACTATATTGCTATTAATGGACTCATTTGGCTGAAGGCGCTCGGTCATGCATTCACACGAGATCACAAGTGGGAACGTGCTCAACTTCTCTTGCAACTATTGGCCATTATAGATCCGTACATTGATAACCTACCAATTAATTAGAATACTTCTAATTATAATGTTGGCCACCTTGTTGGGATTGTATTTCTCCTGTTGAGATTTAGGGATGGAGTGTTAAAGTCTTCTTTTAGTAGGATCTGTCCGAACCTCAGTGTTGTAGCTCCAGTATCCTCTCTATTATCGCATCTTCTCGCGTGTTTGAGCCTGTGGGGGAGGGTCGGCATATTCTTCCAATCTAGTGCCATTCACATTGAAGCAACTCTGGCATAATACTGTCACATCGGTCGATTCGTTACTGTATGATGCTACGGCTTGAAGTGACTTTTATTGTATATAGTCGCTCCATCACCAACTTTGTGCACTATTTTGTATCCGAAAAGTGTCATACTTTGCAAGCTCAATTCTTTATCTATGATGTTAGGTGATTACCATTTTTCAGTCAGGAATCTAATCTTCATATCTGAATGAAAATACATATTCCTGATTTTACTGTGGTTCTCCTAAGTCCCCTTACGTTCCTGAAGAGGCACGTGACGTTTTGTCTCATCTCCTTGTGCTACCTTACGTCATTATTTGTCTTCTAGTATTTAAAAAGATTGTCGCATAAAATATTCTGCCCAGAGAACACGTAACCTCAGTTAAGTCGTCTCGGTTTCTGACGAGACCTAATGGTCGTAAGGTGTGATGGACGAAATATTCTGGACACGCTAACCACCATAGTGGTGTAGGGGTCTCAGTAAAGTTTCTTCTGTAACGTGTGCTTAATCTAAGTTTACCTTTAATGGAGGGGGTTTATCTTTTAATACGATTTGGCCCGTATGCAGGTGGCATGGGTTGTCTGAAATGATACTCTTTCGTAACATTGTACAATATTTATCTCACTGTTTTTTTTCAAAGGTTGTCCTTTTTTACAGCAAACCACTCTTCCACTCTGAGATGTTGAATAGAACCAGGTAATTCATCTAACATATTCGTCATTTATTTTTTATAAATTCCGAAGCTATGCTTTCGCCCTACACTCACTCACTGTGCCCTAATTACTTACTTAATCCCGTTACCCCTCGTGAAAGAGCATAGGCCATCCATCAGCATTCTCCATCCGAATCTACCGTTAGCGAACCTTTCTAGTTTTTATTAAGCCTTTTCAGGTCTGCTTGCAATTCCCGACTCTACGTGTTCCTTTGTCTTCCTGTTTTTCCATTTCCTATCAGGATTCAAAGTGATCGCTTTCCTCGTGATGCACTTTGATTGTTTCCGTAATGTATGTCCTACCCAACTCCAACGCCTCCTCCTAAATTCGCTGATTCGGAGAACTTCCAAGGTGTATTTTCGCATTTCCGTTGCTATTTGACTGGTCCTCGTGGTGTACCACATTGTACGGATATTCCATGTGCATATATCAATGGTTTCACTGGATGTTAGAACGGGCATCGGCGTTTTGACTTCCAAGGTATCTTGGCTTTCATCATGAGGTGCCACAATTCTTTCAATTTTCAGGGAAGAGTTTAAACGGCTTAGTTTATTTAATCTTCTTAGCGTTCTTTGGCAAGGTTTTTTCCACAAGATTGGGTTACAAACTCCATTCCCAACCCTCCTACATTGTATGAGCTCGGGACCGGAAGTAGCCTTAGAAGAGCTACAGGCGGAGCTGCTTTTCCTTTCCGTTAAAGAATATTTTGGTTGTAAGCAACAATCGGAATATATTATCAGAAATATATTATCAGAAATATATTATTACTATTACTTTTAGTGTATGAGATCGGTTTGTTGCTCACATATTCGCACGTTTGGTTCAGCTTTTGTTCTAAGATTTGAACATACCAGTTGGGATTGTTACGATCGCTTCCAATGGTGTATCTTTCCATATGTCGGCAAATGTATCAGAATCACGGACATGGGTGGCTTAACATAAACCCGCAGTACTGCCTGTGTACTACAGATTCATAAACGTAGTGGACCCAGATATTTCAGGATTCAGAATCAAATATCGAGTCACTAGTTTTAATGTACGACGGACATATGTCACGAGTATTGTTTCTGCATCGCAGTAGCAGTTAGCACCACGAACATCTTGAAACTTCCTTTCATCCTGTTATTTTCAAATACAAGTATTAATGTGGCTATGATTACTTAGTTGGAGACTTAGTTTTGTTGTCGATTAGCTAAGAGATGATCTTAGACATTTAAGTATTTGTCGAAGCAACAAAGTTCAAGTTTTCATTCAAACCGTTATTTTGCATGAGTTTTATATTTAGCATTATCTGACATTGATGATTTTCTTTCCGAAAGTGGATTGTGTCATCTATTGAATATCAATGTATTTAATAATGATTTATGCAAACAAGGTCTGTCATCCATCTAATTGACTGAAAAGCGAAATGCAATCTTTGGAACTTTTAACGCCTATTTTACTTTATTTTCTTTTTGTTCATCTTAATATATGAAGTCTGCTTATGTTCTTATCTAGAATTATTACTGTTATTAATATCATTATTGGTTTCTCGACACAATAGATATTCTTTTCATCTTTTCTTATCCTTCCGAACACATATTATTCCTAAATATCCAAAGTCTGTAACTAAAATCAAATTTCCTCACGGTGAACTTGAATAAATTAACTTCTCAGATTCATTTTATCATCACCACACACATATGTATAACGCAAAGAAATTTATATTTCATTATCTTTTGCAGTCAGACGTGACTTTCATAACATCATTTTTGATTATTATTGCACAAATGTTTATATTAATATACGGTCTTACTCAATATACTATTGCATAAATCTATATGTATTTATTCTTGTAAAATAAAGGGTTTTTTATTTCATTTTTCTAAATTGTTGGTTTACTTTAGAGGTCGATGTTCATAACACTATTATTGTTATTATCATGTTTGAACCCTTTCACTAGGTGCTCATTTCTTTTCTCTTTTTTTCCTACTAAATAAATATTATTCTTAAGATTACGAAGTTTGTAATTGAAGCGATAACTTGTATTACACTTAAGTTAACTTCTCAGACTCTTTTTATCTTCACTATGAATATATGACTCATACATATTAATATTTGGTTATCCTCTTCACTTAATTGTGACATCCATAGCATCACTCCAAACCATGACTGCACAAACATTTGTTCTAGCGTCATATCTTACTGCAATAACAAGATTTTTTCCTTAATTATTTTCTATTTTATTTTTGTTACTAATTTGACGACACATACATGGTCGTTTATTCTTGCTCTGTGTTCATAACCTCGCTTATAAAACTAATTGCATATCTCACGTCTCTTTTATTTATATTCCCTTATTTTCTTCCTTTCATTCTTCAAACTCAATTCAATATCCTTCTCAATTACACATAACCTGATTTGTTATTATTATTCTATTATTACTACGCTCATTTTTCAAATATGGCAAATATAATGCTTACATTATTGAAACTTGTGTATTATTGCATTTTTGAAGAAACCCGAAATGGTTTCTTCACAACACTTATGTACCCTTAAGATGCTTGTAAATAATAATAATAGTGTTGAAAGACTTTGTGTGTTCAAACAGGTAACCTGGCGCTCCGTTGTATCCTGTGACATGATTAAAAATAAAGGCCTATTCATTACTAGTCTGATTGCTTCTATTAATAGAACGAGGGATATCTACCAGCACGAAAGATCCATATTGTACACATTACTCTGCGATTGTTTTCCTGGCGTCGTCTTGTTGCTATAAATAGGGATTATCAATATATTATTAACCTCTGAGCATTCCATCAATTGAAGAACACATGGAACTCAAAAAAACTTTCAATAAATATCAGAGTGAAAATCTTCAATACGAACGTCAAGGCAGTTAGTTCTACTGTACGGAGCTGAAACGTGGGGAACTAAATCAACCATCATCAAGAAGGTACAAGTATTAATCAATAGCTGTCTACGCAAGATACTCAACATCCATTGGACAGATACCATCAGCGACAGCCTTCTGTTAGAGAGAACAAACCAGCTTCCAGTTGAAGAGAAAATTAGGAAAAGACGATGGAAATGGATAGGACATATATTGAGGAAATAATCAAACTGCATTACGAGGCAAGCGCTAACTTGGTATCCTGAAGGAAAGCGGAAAAGAGGAAGGCCAAAGAACACATTACGTCGGGAAATAGAAGCAGATATGAAAAGAACGAATAAGAACTGGAAAGAGCTGAAAAGGATTGCCCAGGACAGGATTGGATGGAGAGTGCTGGTGAGCATCCTATGCTCCTTCACGAGGAGTAACAGGTGTAAGTAAGTAAGTAATTAACCTCTGAATTAAGACCTTTATCTCTGCTATTTGTCCTTGTGACTATGTTGTAAGAACTGGTGGCATCGCC